TAAACTCTGGGGTCTATTGGGAGGAAAAGGGGAGGGCCAATAAGGGGGAGCTGGGGAGGGATAGCCTGGAGAGAAATGCCAAATGTGGGTTAAGGGGAGAAAGGAAGCAAAACACACTGCCATGTGTGTACCTATGCAACAGTCTTGCATGTTCTGCACATGTACCCCAAAACCTAAAATGCAATAAAAAATTAAAATAAAATGAACTTCAAAATAAATAAATAAATTAAATAACTGATGTTTGACCCCTGCATACCAGGATGTTCTGCAGCAAAGTATTTAAGCAATGCCTTTAGCATATGTAGCCCTGTATAAAGATGCTTATCTAACCTCCCCAGTGGTCATAGGTTACAGCAAGAAAGACTGAGATGTAATCAGCTGCACATGTTTGTACCTTGAAAGCTTGCTATACAAATGATACTTCCTGGATGGTGAATGTAGGGATCCACCATCACATGACCACCGCAGATATCACTTCTGTTTGTAAGATCCTATTAAATATTTCTTCTGACAAAAAAAAAAAAGAAAACCATCATTTCAAGCAAACTAACATAAGAACAGAAAACGAAACATCACATGTTCTTATTAATAACTGGGAGTTGAACAATGAGAACAAGAGGACACAGGGAGGGGATCATCACACACCAAGGCCTGTCGAAGGCTGGGAGGCAAGGGGAGTGATAGTATTAGGAGCAATACCTAATGTAGATGATAGGTTGATGGGTGCATCAAACCACCATGGCACACGTTTATCTATGTAACAAACTTGCATATTCTGCACATGTACCCCAGAACTTCAAGTACATATATATATATAAAGAAAGTATATCTACAGGGAAAATTTTTAGAAACGAGATTGGTAAGCCAAAAGATAAAGCCATATTATTTGTTAGTCATAGATATGATAGATACAGAAATAAATGTAGATGTGAATATTTTTGTGGGTGTATATATACATATGTTTCTTAGCTTTGTTCACTTAAAGGACCAAGAAGCAATGCTTTCAAAAGCATTATACTAGCTTACATTGCCATCAGCAATGTTTTATCTGTCTTGAACAATATGCTTGCTTAAATCAGGATACAGATGTGCTTTTATACATTGCAAGTGGTTGATACGCTTCTTAATTCTCTTTTAATCTGTAGATTTTATGAACCACTTCAATCCCTGTTTTTTTATTTAAATGTATTTGTCTAAAAATCCGTATCTGCCTTGCAGAGTTTCCCACAGGCTGGATTTTTCTGACTGGATACAATGATGTCATTTTTCATGTAATTCTGTACTTTGCATTTCCCATAAATTATTCAATTTAGAGACTTGACCAGATTTCAATGAACTTTTTGGTAAGAATATTTCATTAAAGGTATTATGTACCTCACTAAAAAGCACCTTGTGGCTGACAACCTAGAATTTTTTAAACAGTTTATTATGTACCTTAAAGATGTATTTTTAAGATGAAGAAAAGTGTAAGGAAAAACATATTCTATGTGTGCCACCATATATATGCTACCTCAAAAATAAGTTACTATTATATTTTGTCTGGTAATATGTAGTAAACCAGGTAAGTTTTTTCTAATACTACAATTCACTGCATAAAACACTGAAGCCCATAAATAACATCATTGGGTACATGCTGTTTCTTGCCCTTACTTTTCTAATAGAGCTCTATGCTAGTTATTGAACAGATAGTGGCACTCCCAGGTTTATTGCAGCATTATACATGATACCTAAGATAGGTAATCAACCTAGATGTTCATCAATGAATAAATGGATATAGATAATATGGTGTATATATATATATATATAAAATGAAATTTTATTGAGCCACAAAAAATCATGGAATCCTGTCATTTGCAACAGCATAGCTGGAACTGGAAGACATTATGTTAAGTGAAATAAGCCAAGCAAACAGAGACAAATGTCACATGTTTTCATACATATATAAAAACTAAAATAATTCACCTTATGGAGGTAATGAATAGAATGTTGGCTACCAGAGGCTGGGAATGGTAGTTGGGTGGGAGAGATAAAGACAGGTGGTTACTGGGAACAAAAATACAGTTAGATAGAAGGAAGATCTAGTCTAGTGTTCAGTAGTACAATAGGGCCACTACAGCTAACAATAATTTATTGTACATTTCAAAATAGGCAGTAGATTGGAATGCTCCCAACACACAAAAATATAGTTGTTTGAAATGATGGATATCCCAGTTACCCAGATTTTATCATTATTCATTGGATGCTTGTATCAAAATATCAAACTTTCCTCATAAATACATACAACTATTAGCTATACATAAAAATCAAAATCATAATCCCAACACTTTGGGAAGCAGAGGTGGGCAGATCACAAGGTTGGTGTTCAAGACCAGCCTGACCAACATGGTGAAACCCCATTTCTACTAAAAATACAAAAAAAAAATTAGCCAGGCGTGGTAGTGCATGCCTGGTGCCTGTAATTCCAGCTACTCAGGAGGCTGAGGCAGGTGAGTCACTTGAACCCAGGAGGTGGAGGCTGCAGTGAGCTGAGATCCCACCACTGCACTCCAGCCTAGGCGACAGTGAGACTTTGTCTTAAAAAAAATTTAAAAAATAAAAATACATATGCTAGTTATGCTTTTCAATTTAGGCCAAAGTCATCTCTTTTATGAAAGGAAGATGGGAAAGGAGTGCAATCGTTGAAGGTTAATTTGTTCAAACCCTTTACACAGCTTCCTCAGTCATGCCTCACAATATCCTGAGAATTAGGTAGCCACTATTCCCATTTTACAACTGATAAAATAGAAGTATTGCTGGGCCTGGCATGGTGGCTCATGCCACTTAATCACAGCACTTTGGGAGGCCTATGCAGATGGATCACTTGAGCTCAGAATTTTGAGACCAACCTTGGCAGCATGGTGAAATCCCATCTCTAGAAAAACAGACAAAAATTAGTTGGGTATGGTGGCAGATGCTGTAGTCCCAGCTACTCAAGAGGCTGAGGTGGGAGGATTGTTTGAGCCTGGGAGGCAGAGGTTGAAGTGAGCAGAGATTGTGCCACTGGACGTCAGCCTGGGCAACAGAGTGAGGCCTTGCCTCAAAAATAGTGAAATAACTTTTCCAAAGTAATGCATTAAATAATTCACAGAGCAAGGAAATGCATTACAATGTTCATTAACATAAATACATGTATTATAAACTGAAACAACCAAAGCGGTCATTCACAAAGTAGGAAAATAAATTGTGGTATACCACAATACATCAGGGAAAATAAATTAACTGTTATTAAAAGTGATCAACATAGATAAAGCTAACAACCATATTTTGACCAAAAACAAGTTTAGAATATATACAGCATACCATTTATATTTTAAAGGAAGTAAAAGGATACTATATATTTCTGAGATATTAATGTCCATGTGGTAAAATATTTTTTAAAATTATTCATAGAAAAAAACCACTAAATTAATGACTGGAGTAATGGAATTAAGGAGGGCTACGCAGGACATTTCAGTTGTATTGATCAAATTTTTACTTTTTAAACAGAGCTAAGGCTACAATGGTATTGGTTAAATTTTTCTTTACAGGCTTGTGTTTTGCTTAATATTTAATACTTTAAAAAATAAAGTAAATGGTATCTGGAGTACAAGAATTAATGTTGAAATAAATGTACATGGATCTATAAGACAAAAAAGATAGAAAGTTGGGGAAGGATGGCAAGAAGGAAAGCTGAAGAGGGGAGGAAAAACAAATGCTACAATTCCACTACCCGGATATTTTCATAGCTAGTTGTTTTGTTCATAATTTTCTATTTTTTCTGTTCATATAGAAGTATGTATGAACATATATTGTAAAGAAACATTGGACAATATTATGACTACTACTAGAAAACCTATTTTGTAACTTATTTTGTAGGCACCAAATCAGTGCCATTAAAAAGGGCCATATTCTATCCAATCATATCGTTATACCACAGTTTATTTTACCAATTCACTATTGATAAGCATTTAGATTATTTCCAAAGTTTTCTATTACAAGTAATGCTGCAATTTACACATTATGTGCATTTGTGCATGGCTGTGTGTATTTTCAGTAGTAATTGTGTTGAAAAAAATTCCTAAGGGTAGAATTTCTAGGTCAAAATGTAACAGGTTTTCAAGTTTGTCACATATGCCAAATAGCCTAACAATAAATGATTATACTAATTTACACATTTAACAATACTGTAATTGAGTGCTAGTTTCCCCAAACTTTGCACAACACTGGGCATAAACAATGTTTTTATCCCCTTGTCAATCATAATCTACTATTCCGTTTTCTCATGTGCATTTATTAGTGAGGCTGAGACACTTTTTTAACGTTTACTCACCATGCTTGAATAACTTCTTCTAATTTTTTGCCTTTTTTTAACGTTTTTGAAGTTTTAATTATGGATACATATGAATTGTACATATTTATGGGGTACATGTGATATTTTGATTAGAACATACAATGTGTAATAATCAAATCTGAGTGGTTCGTATATCCATCACCTCAAACATTTATCATTTCTTTGTGTTAGAATCAGTCCAATTCTGTATTTAATTACTTTGAAATATATCATATTTAACTATAGTTGTTCTATTATGCTACCAAACACGAAATCACAAATACCAGGAAAGTCAACAGATAACTGGATCAGGAGCCAAAATGTTTACATGCAAATAAAGGATCTGGCGCAATGAAAATGCGAAACAAGGAAAAGAAAGAGCCAGAATAATGGGGACATAAAGGGTGAGAGAGAACGAGAAAAACGATAAGGAAAAGCTATGCAGGGAAACAGAATTCTCACCTCAGGGTCCCCCTCCCCCTCTGCTCTGTTTCAGACACCTATTCTCATTCCTGCACTCCTACCCCTGGCGTCATGCTAGCTGGTCTGTCTTTCCTCCTTCTGGAAAAAGACAAATTATTAAATAAAGGGAGGATGAGTCCTAACTCATCCCCACTTCTCGTCTCCTGTCAGATGTTCAAATACAACTTACCACGCAGTCACCGCCATCCAACTGCAGGTCACTCTCCACTTCACCGCGGTCTGATGTCTTGGCTACAAGATCTAAGCCTTTCTGACGCCCCAGCCAGTTCAGGCTGCCGGTCTCCTGTCCTTAAGCCTTTCCCGAGGCAGTCCGCTTACCTGATGTCAGCATACCAGGCGCCCCAACACCCACTGGAAGCACAAGCCCCAGCTCAGGTCAGTTTCCGGCACCTAGCGTCCCCAGGTCCTCACGTGACTTAGTTTCCCAGGCAATGGTGCTTTTCTCCCGGATGTAGCAGTCGGCTGAAAAGGACTGAGTGCGTCTTAGAGTTAACCCTCAAACCACCATGGCCAGTGAATGAAGAATAAGCCTGTTGAGTGTTTCGTCTATTTATACGGCATTATGCTGGATATTATAAAGTAAAGGGATGAAAGAAACTGGAGACTTTTCACCAACAACTACACACAGATCTATATTATTAGAATTCTTAAAATGAGTACGTGTTGTTTTTATAATTAAACAACAGGAAAATAATGATTAATAATTAAAAGGGATTATGTATTAAACAAAACCTTATGATTACAACACCACCTTATAGCCTTGAAAATAGGTATTGTTTCGTGAGAAAGATCATAGCAGTGTGCAAATATCAATTCAGAACTTTAAACAGGAAGAATATACACACCAAAAGAGATTTTTTAAAAACAAAACCTATGCTTTACGTGCTCTGTGATTGTCACTGGGCTTAGGAGAGCCTGTTATTCTGCTATGTAGTCCCATCAGAAAGACAGAGCATGTTGTAGCCATGCATGTCAGAATCAACCAAGGTCAAGAATTTCTTATGACCAGTCATAAAGTCCCTGAAACAAAACACACAGAAATCCATGTAAATAAGAAATAAAGAGGCTCAGACCTTGCAGAAAGATCGAGAACAGTTACCAAAGACATGCTACCTTGGCTGGAATCTGGCTCTGCCCTTTACAAATTTATGAGACCTTTTAATCTGTTAATTGCTTGTTGTAAAAATTACATTAAGCAAGTCTTAATATGTATAATGCATTTAAAACAATGTCTGGCAATGAGAAGACCTGTTTGATAAATAAATAAATAAATAAATAAAATATGGGACACAGACATTGCAGCATAGGAATACTTCAATCAGGAATCTTAGGTCTCCGAAAACAATGGTGATACTAATTTAGCTGTACAGGAAGGAGGTGTCCTGTGTGGCTGACATAAATATTTCAGGGTTAGGAGGGAAATATTCCTACATTTCTTATTTAAGAAAACAACACATCAAGGTTGTTTAGAAAGGCAGAGGGGATGATGGATCCAGGCAGCCTAGATTTAGATCCTTGGTCTGCATTATTAACTCAAGTTATTTAACCCTTCTGTGCCTCTGTTTCCCCATAGGCAAAATAGAGATAATAGTACCAATTTCATACTATTCTTATTGTTGTGAGAAAATTGCATATTAAATAAAATTACAACAATGACTGGCATATAAATATTGATTAAAACTAGTAACAAGAGACAAAAAAGGTGGGAGAATTAAAAGGTAAACCCGCGTGGAACTACAGTCTCAGCCTAAAGTAGATGAAATAGATGCCCACTGCCAGAGACCTCATCAAGGTATTTCAGATAAGAATATCTCATGCAATGACAGTATTGTGAAGGTGATAAGATTGCAGTGTCCTTGGAAAACAAGGATAAATCCCTCAGAAATCTAGAACAAGTATGCTGACAACATAAAGTGGAATCCAACCTGACTAAGATGATAACCTGAGCTATTAGAGTTGGAGCTGGGGTCAGTGAACTACAGCTCAAGTGTCAAAGCTTGTCTACTATCTGTTTTTGTTTGATCAGAGAGCAAATAATTATTTTTAAATATATAAGTGGTTGAAAAAAATTAAGAAACCAATATTTCATGACATGTAAAAATTATATAAAATTTAAATTTTCAAAAATAAAGTTTTATTGGAATACAAACACACTCATTCATTTATATATTGTCTGTGGTTACCTTTACAATATAATGACAGGATTAAGTACTTAAAATAGACATTACAGCAACAAGATAAAAGGATTTCAAGTCTGTAATTGTGGAGTCACCACACCAACCATGGATGAATTATCCTCAGACGGTCACGTGTTATTTGGAGTATTTTTATAGCAGTCTAATTAATCTGTATTCTGACCTGTACAGAGTACAGGCAAGTTTAAACAATTGATTTGGCTTTCCATCTGAACACATTTAGATAATGTTTATTTAAAACTTTGCAAGATTCTGCTTAAACCAATTTGGCCCAAATTAGTCAACTACAAATTAGATTAATTTGCAAAACCTTAGACATCAATATTACAGTGAGAAACACATTGAAGATAAACATAATGAAAAAATTACCACACTTATATGTAACAATTTGTAAAACAATACCAAGCTTGTTTAAACCTATACTGGTTTCTGCAAAGAAAGACCCCCAAGACAGCCACTAAGGCATGTAGTAGGTATTAACTAAAGACTTGACTGACCTGATATCCTGAGGATGTAATAATTTCTACAATAAGTAGGTACCATGCAGTGTGGGGGTGGTCCTAAAGGAGATGCTTGCCCATTATACCTAGATAGTTATCTATGTGTGACTGATAACAAGGTGGTCAAGGGAAGAGATTATCACCTATTGAAATAGGTATAAAAGATTCACTAAGCTAGTAATCAGAAAAAAATTAAAAACCAGAAAGAAATAATGTATCTACATACTACATTTTTTTAGCTAGATCTAACAGAAGAATTGAGGCTGTAATAGTTTTGTAGATTTAAATATTTTAAAATTTTACTTTATGTTCTGGGATACATGTGCAGAACACGCAGGTTTGTTACATAAGTGCACATTTGCCATGGTGGTTTGCTCACCTATCAACCCATCATCTAGGTTTTAAGCCCATCATGCATTAGGTGTTTTTCCTAATGCTCTCCTTCCCCTTGGCCCCCACCTCCTGACAGGCCCCAGGGTGTGATGTTCTCCTCTCTGTGTCCATGCATTCTCATTGTTCAACTCCCATTTGTGAGTGAGAACATGAGGTGTCTGATTTTCTGTTCTTGTGTCAGTTTGCTGAGAATGTTGGCTTCCAGCTTCAGCCATGTCCCAGCAAAGGACATGAACTCATTCATTTGTATGGCTGCATGGTATTCTATAGTGTATATGTGACACATTTTTCTTTATCCAAGGGAACACCACAAATTGAGGGAATTTATCTTTGAGGCAGTCAACAGTAGATCTATTAGAAAAAGACTTAAAATAACTCTCTTAAATGTGCATAAAGAGCTAAACAAAAATGTGGAAAAATAACTACATAAAATTAGAGAAATATTGTATGACCCAAATGAGAATATCAATGATGTGATAGATACTATGAAAATTGTGAAGCAAAAAAAACTACCATAACTGAAAGAAAGTTATTCAAAGTAGATTTAAACAAACGGAATTAGTGAACTTGAAATAGGACAATTGAAACTGAGTTTGAGGAGCAGACAGAAAAAGATGAAGAAAAATGAACAGAACCTAAGAGGCTTGTAGGATGCCATTAAGCAGACCAACATATGCATTATGAGAATCATAAAAAGAGAAGAGAGAGATGAGGCAAAGGAATATTTGAAGAAATAGCCAAAAACTTGCCAAATTTGATGAAAGACATGAATCAATGAATTTAAAAACCTCAAAAATCCAAATAAAATAAACTCAAACACCATAAGACATATTATAATCAAAACATGTAAAGTCCATAAAAGAATCTTTAAAGGAACCAAATAGAAGAGACTCATCATGTAAATGGATCTTAAATAAGATAACTAGCTTATTTCTCTGCAGAAATCTTGAAGTTGAGAAGGCAGTGGAATGATATATTTAATTTGTTGAAAGAAAAGAAAATGATCAACTAAGTATTCTATGTTCAGTAAAACCATCCTTCAAAAAAATGAAAGAAATTAAGACATTCGAAGAAAAACAAAAGCTGAACTAGGTCATTACCATTGCACTTGCCCTACATAAAATGCTGAAGAGAGTCCTTCATATTGAAATGAAAGAATTCTAGACAATAAATCAAATTCATATGAAAACATAAAATCTTCTAGTAAAGATAAATATACGAGCAAAAATAAAAGCTGATACTGTATTTTTATTTTGTAACTCCAGTTTTACATTTTTTTTCTAAAAAATTTAAAGGACAGAAGGATATAAAATAAATATAAATGTATGTTATTAGATGCACAATCTATGAAGATGTAATGTATAACAATCACCACATAAAAAAGGTGTAGAATTAAAATTTTAGGAGCTCAGAGGAAAATTTATACCTTTACATTACTACATTAAGAAAGAAGGAAAATGTCATGTTAATAATCTTACTTTACACCTTGAGGCACTAAAAGTAGAGCTAAGTAAAACTTAAGCATAAAGCAGAAAATATAGACTAGAGAATACATAGATAAAATAGAGACTACAAAAACAATAAATAAAATCATCAGAGCTTCTGGGTGCAGTGGCTCATGCCTGTAATCCCAGCACTTTGGGAGATCAAGATAGTGAGATGACTTGAGGTCAGAAGTTTGAGACAAGCCTGGCCAACATGGTGAAACCTCCATTTTTACTAAAAATGCAACAATCAGCCAGGCATGGTGGCAAGCACCTGTAATCCCAGGTACTCAAAAGGCTGAGGCAGGAGAATGGCTTGAACGTGGGAGTTGGAAGTTATACTGAGCCACTGCACTCCAACCTGAGCAACAAAGCAAGACTCCATCTCAAAATAATAATAATAATCATAATAAGATCAGAGCCAATTGCTGGTTCTCTAAAAAGATCAAAATTGACAACATATTATAGACCATAGAAAGATGAAACCGATTATATGGGAAAACTAAAAACAATTGTATGCCAACAAATTAGATAATGTAGATAAAATTAACAAATTCCTGGAAAAATACAAGTTGCTGAATCTAACTCACGAAGTACAAAATTTGAATATACCTATAAGAGATAAAGAGATTTCATCAGTACTCAACAACTTTTCCATAAAGAAAAACCCAGTTTATAATTGCATCTCTGGGGAATTCTACCCAACATGTAAAGAATTAACAGAAAAATCTTCAAGAAGTTGTCTAAAATTTAGAAGAGAAAGGGACTTCTGAATTCATCCTGAGCCCAATAGTAAACAGGTACCAAAACCAGTTATTACATCAATTGTTCAAATGTGTATCTCATCTGAATACAGATGCACAAATCATCAACTTAATGCTAACAAACTGAATCCAGAAGCATATAAAATGCCAAATGAAATTTTGCTTAATATCTGATAATTAATGTAATACATCATATCAATATAATAACAACAGAA